ATCTGAAGAAGTTCATCTATCTAAGCTACTGTATATCACAGTTCATTCAGTATAGAGAAAGTGAAGATATTAATGACAGTTCTAACTGAAGAAGTATGTATAGTGTCATGAACTGTTTCATCTTAATCAACTAGTATCTTCAGATTCAAGAGTCAGTGCTCTCAGTTCATTCAGTAAGTATCTGTTATATCAGATAGCATATCTTACTCTCATTGTAAAAGAGCATCTGTCATTGAGTTCTGACTATCAGAATGATAGTGTATTATAAAATGAAAGTAACTTAAGAACTCAGATTATTGTATCTGTCATTTAGTGAGTTTATAAGTAGTTATGAAGTATTTGAGATTCTTATAATCTATGACTATCTTAAATTTGAAGACACTTCAGAGTTCAGAGTCTCATTCTTCTAAATAGTATATAATTATGAGAAGTTTCTTATCATAGATCTCATAATTGCATTCAGCAGAACTCAGTTTCTTAGATATGAAGATATATGATTATAGAATATCTTCATTATCATATTATAATATCACTTCTTCTATTATATAGTCAGAGAAATCAGCTTCAATAACTATCTTATAATCAGAATTAAATATTATCAGTAAAGAAGTATTAATGAACATCTTCTTTATCTGTATAAATACAGCTTCAGCATTCACTAATTATTGAAATACTGAGTCTTTCTTAGTAAGATCTGTAAGTGATCTTATAATATCTAAGAAGTTTTGTATAAATCACTGATAGAAGTTAGTAAATCTGATAAAGCTTTGTATATCTTTCATAGTACACAGAGCTTCTCATTCAAGAATAGTAGAGACTTTCTCAGAATTCATTTGAATTCTCTTATCAGCTTCTATAATAAAACTCAGATACTTGATACTCTTGACTTCAAAATCATACTTATTAATATCTATCAGTAGTTCTGCTTCTCATAGCTGTTATAATATCTTTTATATATACTCTTGATATTCTTTTCTGAATTCATTGATAAAGATGAGAATGTCATCTAGATAAGCAGATATAAACTTATTAAGAAAATCTCAGAGTGCTCAGTTGATATACTTCTGAAATGTACTGAGAGTGTTAATTAGTTCAAAGAGTGTAACTATTCATTCAAAGAGATTATAACATGTTCAGAATACTGTAAGTCATTCATCTTCTTCAGTGATATGAATCTTATAAAACACAGTGATGATATCTAGTTTTATAAACTATTGAGCTCATCTGATTCATGCTAGAATTTCATTGATAAGAGATAAGAGATATTGATCTTTCTTTGTCAATCTGTTCAGATCTTAGTAGTTCACACAGAATCAGAGTTCTTTATCTGATTTCTTTGTAAAGAGAATAGAGGCTGCAGTGAAAGAGTTACTAATATATATGAATTCTTTATTTAACAGATCATTGAGTGTCTTTTGAAGAAGAAGAAGTTCATCTTGAAATATGTTATAAAGAGAGTCTTATAACAGTTTAAGATTCTTATCATTCTTTTTCTCTAACTTGATACTATGATTCACTTCAGAATCTTGTAAGAGAGATATATTTATAATATTATCTTATTGAAAGATATCTAGATATTCATGATATTATTGAGAGAGTTTTGTATGAGAATCTGTTATTATAATATAGAATAATTTTTCTAGAGTCTTTTTAATATCAGTCAGACTAACAGAATAGATTAATATATAATTCTGCTATCAGTGATTCTTTCAGCAACTTCTTTTTCTGAGCATTTCATAGATATTAACAGAGATCAGTGTCAGATCAATAGTCTTGTAAATATCATCTTCATGAATTCTATCATTGTTAGGGAATATCAAGCTTCTGTTTTAAGTGTTTAATAAGATATCTTGTTCAGATAGTCAGGCAAGTTCTAATATAAGATTATAATCAAGATTATTAACTTCATATATATAGACATCTTTATGTTGATGTTTTCTCACATCTATAATCAGCTTTATCATGTAACAGATATAAATATCTTTTGAATTATTAAATTCTGTGAGAAGTCAAGGTTTTAATAAAGGAATATGCTGAAGATTATAATATCTTATGACTGAAGATTTTATCATTGTATAGTGGCATAGACTGCTGTCTATTATAGCTTTCATATTATACATATTATCAATCACAGTAGATACAAGAATTGTATTCATTATCATCTTCTCTTCAAATCATTGTTATCTGATCTCTTCAAGCTTCTGTTTATGAATTTAAACAGAAGCTAATCTTTTTTCTGTTTTATTAAGACATTCTTATAATTATCTTCTGAATCTTTCTCTAATGTAATGTGATTGATGTGAACAGACACTGATTCATTCTTTGAACAAGAAGATGCTGATCTTTCTCTTGAGTATGAAGACACATAGATTAATCAGCAGTTGAAAGCAATGTGTTCTGATTAGTTACAGTTAATGTATACTTTATATTGATATTGATCAGTGACTTCTTCAGAAGTGATCTCAGAGACTTAGAAGCCTGTTCAGACAGCAGAGACCCTTGCTTATGTGTAGATATTTAAGTCTATTCAATTCATGACATCTGCATCATTATTATTCCTTGATATGAGTGTATGAGTTACTGAGATATAATGTCTTCTGTCACTGTTCTGTATATTCTTGAGCTTAGTAAGATGATTATTCATTGTCTGAAGCTGTGTATAGAAGTCTTTATAAGTCTGATCTTTGTCTATACTTATAAGAACTTATAAGAGTTTGAAAGTTAATGTCTTCTTAAGCATGCTAATCTTTATTTGATTCTCTCAAGATTGATTATCTGCTTCTAGAATCTTGATATTGAAGTCAGAAATGAATATTATAAGAGAAATGTTTCTCTGTCAGATGCTCTGTAGTCAATCTAATACTTTCTATTATATAGCAGTGTCTTGAAACAGAATATCAAGATATTTCATGATATTGTCAGGTGTTCATAATACTGGTTCACATGCTTTCATTCATGAATGAAACTTCTGTTTTATACAATCTTTCAATCATTCATTGATATATCAATCTTGATTGATTAATGAACTGATGACATCTTTATCTATACTCAGTTTCACAAGTATTTTCATTCTTCATGATAAGTAGAGAGTGAGATCAAAAGTATTAAAATATGCAGGAGTATCTAAGCATTCTTTCAGCACTTTTATATTCAATTCTGTAGATGTTGAAATTGTGTGAATTAGTCATTGAATCTCTTTATATTGATATTGTTAAGTTGTATACATATCAGCTATTTATTATTGTTATAGTTTCAATATTGCTTGAAGTCACTGTGATACTGTATCTATGCTCATGTTCAGAGATTCTCTCATATTATCATTAGACATGATTATATCATTTATTGAATATATGATATCTGTGAAATTTAAAGAAGTGTAATTGTATGAATATCTTATATATCTAAGTGTCAGAACTCTCAGATCTTTCACTGATATTCTCTTTGTAGAATCTTATTACAGAGTCAGAATAACTGATAAGTAGCTTCTATCTGAGAACTTAATATCTGCTTAACTGTTTCTCTATTTCTTATATATTATTATATATTTAGATATCTCTTAATGAATAATTGTTTCTGATGAGAAGATAATACATGAATAATCATTTTCTAATAAGAAGATAATGAATATTTTTATAGTGTAAGAAATCTACACTGAATAGATCAGTATAATATTGATAGATCTTATATAACAAAGATAAAAACATTAGAGAAGAAAAGAAAGAGAAAGTGCAAGAATTAGCAATTGAGATGAATATTTATATGTATATGTGATGATGTACACAGTGGAGCTTCAGGGCGGGAGAATATACGCGCGTTCATAGCAGCTGAGAATCAGTGATTGAGAATGGCTGAGAATCAGAGCATATATATTCAAGAATGAAGTGATTGAAATCTGTGAAGTGTAATAGAATAGTCTATATAATTGATCAGGCGCAGCCTGTCATAAAACTAGAGAATTTTATTTTATGAAATTTTCATCTCTGTGAGTGAAAGATGAGATTATGAGAGAAAGTATATATAATAATTCACTACTTACTGTTAATATTTAAAAGAGAGATAAAGAAGCAGAGTAACTTCTATCTCTTAATATTTTAATTCAGAATACAAGATCTGATTGAGTTTATAGACTGAGAATAATAATAATATAGTAATATATTAATACAGATAAACTAAGTAGTAATAGAGATTAAGCAGAAGCAGTTAAATAAATAATATAGATAATATTTTATAATAGTAATCTTATATCTATAAGTCTGTAATCTTTATATAATAACTAGTACTAGAAGCTGCAATTACTATCTTATTTAAAATTTAATCATAACTGAATCTAGATACTAGAACGCGTATATAGACATGCTATTATATATAATATTATTCAATGAAGTTGAAGTTGAGTTTCATTCTCTTCTAGCTAGCTAGAATGAGAAAGAATGAGAATATATAAAGAAGAAAAAGATGAGCGTTCTGAGAATTACGCAGGCATGATGAGAAATACGCGTATGACGCGTAACGTGAATGCGTAGCGCGTAACACTCAGTCTTCTTAAACTATCTGTTTCAGAAGTTCCGGATAATGAAGAGGATTCAGTCAATGATGAGATGAAGAAGCAGGTGAATAAGAAGAATATAGAGACTCAGTCTGAGAATTCTATATCTGTGAATCTCTACCTCTGAACCTGACATCTTATACAGATTGTATGAACAGGTGATTATTAATAAGATAAAGAATAAAAGAGATAATAAAATGATTAATAAGTAGAAAGAAGAAGAAGAATCAGAAGAATAAATCTACAACTTCTACAATCAATTCTTTTATATAGATCTCTCAAATGTCAGTGATTATATTCTCTTCTTCAGCTCTGACAGCTTCAACTTCATTCAATATAACATTTTCAAGTGAGATAATCAATGTGATGATGATGAAATATATGATGAAAGAAATAGAAGAACTGAATTCACAATCTCATTATCATTCACATTCAGATCTGCTGTTGAAATCTTCTATTGAATCTGCTGTTGAAATCTTCCATCAAATCCGCTGTTGAAATCTTTCATCAAATTCACTGTTGAATCTTCCATCGAATCCACTGTTGAATCTTTCATTGAATCCACTGTTGAAATCTTCCATCGAATCCGCCGTTGAAATCTTCCATCAAATCCACCGTTGAATCTTCCATCGAATCCACCGTTGAATCTTCCATCGAACCCGGCGTTGAAATCTTCCATCAAATTCACTGTTGAATCTTCCATCAAATCCACCGTTGAATCTTCCATCGAACCCGGCGTTGAAATCTTCCATCAAATCCGCCGTTGAAATCTTCCATCGAATACACTGTTGAAATCTTCCATCAAATCCACCATTGAATCTTCCATTGAATCCACCGTTGAATCTTCCATCAAATACACTGTTGAAATCTTTCATTGAATCCGCTGTTGAAATCTTCCATCGAACCCGGCATTGAAATCTTCCATCAAATCCACCGTTGAATCTTCCATCGAATACACTGTTGAAATCTTCCATCGAATCCACCGTTGAATCTTCCATTGAATACACTGTTGAAATCTTCCATCGAATCCGCCGTTGAAATCTTCCATCGAATCCACCGTTGAATCTTCCATCGAATCCGCCGTTGAAATCTTCCATCAAATCCACCATTGAATCTTCCATTGAATCCACCGTTGAATCTTCCATCAAATACACTGTTGAAATCTTTCATTGAATCCGCTGTTCCATCTCCAATTCAAAGCAGTTCAATACCTCAATTTGATGAATACTTCAATTGATTGACAAGGGAACAGTTGCTTCATATGAATATTGACAAGAGTATATTTCAAATTATAAGAGATGAATTAAAAAGTTCATTATAACAGACAAAATTGCAGAAATTCAAATCATCTTTATTCACTATTTATAGTGATGAGAATAGATCTCATACTGCTTTCACTTCTAAATTTGTATTATAATGAATTGTAATCTGAATCTTTCTAATTATTATAATACTATTCTATATAAGTAGATCTGAAATATTCTTTTCTATCTTTTTCTCTCATGAAGTTCTCAACTGTATGATATAACAAAGCTTCAAAATCTTCATCAAACTGAGTATCTAACTAACTCTTCAATTCTGATAAGATATCTGATATAATCTTTGACTTTACATCACATATTGAACAGAGTTCTCTAACAGTTTCAAAATAGCAAAGATTTCATTGAATTCAATATACAGTAGTCAGATAACAATCAATGCTTTGTGTGATCTCAGCAGATATATAACCATTCTTAAGAAGGTGTACAATCTCATTGATGATGAAATCACAGAGTTTGAGATGACATATTGATGATAAAGGTAAGAAAGACGCGTATTTGGATGATATTTGATTGAAAAAGACGCATATTGGATGATATTGAATGATTCTAGAGAAATGCAGATATTTTGATTTTTTGGTGGTGTTTTGCTACTAATTTTCAGGGGGGCCTGGGAAAATTCTGTTTTCGCAAGTAATATGTCCGCCACAATAATTGGAAATCATGAATCCAAACGTAGGCAGGCAATTTCGACCATATTATTGCTATCCGTCTGCGTGGCACGGCGCATAGGTTAAACCCGGCTATCTAGAATCGCAGATTGTGCCTCATCAGCCATTCTTTTTTCGTATTTTGCAATCTTTGTCATCGGAAATATTCAAAGTCTTTTTTGTCGTTCTGCCACAGCAGCTCTTTTTCATCCCATGGCTTCAAAAGAAGAATCTCCTCTTGGGTTGAGTGACGCACGCTTCGATCATTCGCCAATTGAGAATCTGCCCATCACATTCTGTCAGCCACGAAAGCACTGCCAGGAATGCTGCTACCTAGTCATCAGATAATTTCTCATATCCGCCCCACATTCTTGCTCGCTCCCATTCTGATGACACCGGAGGGCAACAGGAGTAAGAAGAAGAAGAAGAATTGGGAAGTTCCACAGGATATAGTTCGAGACCCCGAAGTCGCTCCTCTCTTCCACGTTGAAATCCTGCACGAACCATCTGTTCGTCTGCGTATAAAGTTTTGACATCATATCGTGATCTAGCCACGGTGGAACCCCGGGATCGGAACGGACCATGGTAGCCCAGCTGTGATCGTTGCTACATACGCCGTAGTACTTCGTTCTTTGCTACATGTAATAACGCTCCATCGGATGGAGCCCCAGGAGGCCGAGGAAAGCTTAATAAAACGCGAGCTTCATTCCAACGGTGGTTAAAAGTGCCCGATGCAATCAAGAAACGTAAGGCGAACCGCACGGACGGATATCAGTTCCTCCAATTAAGATATTGCCAGTAACCCCGAAGTGACTTCTTGTTTCTCGACTTCGCAAGACTCGCTGCCAGGTTTAGTAACCCAATTTTCAAGGCGGCTTGAAATGATTCCGGGTTCTGGTGGAAGCAAGTTGCTTCCGGCTGCAAAAACGGAATGACTAACTTAACTAAATAACCCTTAACTACATACATAAGATACCTTGTGTGAACGGTGCCACCATCGGTACCAATTCTTGCCGCTGCTCTCCTCCCACCGGGGGGTTTGTTCCCGCCCCGCCGCATCCATATCTTTCCGACGCTGAACAAGAAAAACTGACGTTGCCTCCGCTAGGTGGAAATCGGCCCCTCCTCCCCCCCGCTCCGAAGATACTATTCTCATATTCTCCCCTTCGATATCCGCTACTTGGAGCTCGAGGAAGGGCTTTCCCGCTGCCAATTGCTCTTGGAAAGGAGTGGAGAACCTTCTGGAACCGCAAGGGCAGATATCCCATCCATGGGTTAGAATCCACTGCGGATAGATCATGAAATGTTACCCCCAGCTGGGTTTAAAGTTACGCAGTAAAGCTATCATGTGCTAGTGGGTAAATTTTTGGATTCCGTCTTCCACCCAAAGCTACTTAGTACAAATAATGATCTAGATTGCTAGGCCTACCGCTCATGCGTGAATCATGCCATTTGTACAACATTTTAAATAATAAAGCGAGTTTGCGCGTCTTTTCCGTCTTCCACCCAACTCTTTTCTTAAGGATGGAGTATGAGGTGGCGATCCTGGCGAGGAGAATGGCCCACATGCTGTTTTCCACTGTTCCTCTGAAGAGCGCAATCTCATAAAATGGAATTACATACAGTCACGGCCAGATGTCCCCACTTAACTTAGGCGAGCGATGATGTTACACACCGTAGATTAAGGCCTCTCATGAAGAAGCGCACGAATTAATGAACGACGCAAAGTGACCTATTTCATTATAAACCCGCCTTGCCCCACCTGAAAACGGTGTTGACTCTTTTTGACATGGAGGGCTATAAATAGCCGGCCGTGGAAGATATTTAGCGCCAAAACTTTATCACCCAATGAGTCAGTTTGGTCCTCAGTTTAGTTTCCACCACCCTTTATAAAAGGCGCCCAGCACCCGCTACCTCACGCACCTGTGTCGTCCCTGGATTTTGACGGAACGGATGTCGAAATAAAAAATTAAAATTAAACAGGAGGGAAAAAAATCCCTTTAGAGATTCGCAGCCCTCGCCCGAAATGAACCACACTAAGTGCTTCAAGCCAATCCAAAAGGAGATCCCTCATAGGACATTTTACCGGTCGTTGTTTAATTAGCCTTAGGGACCCTCCCTAAGAAAGAGCAAAACAAGCATCCAACGCCCTTTTTTTTTATGATATTACCCTTACTATTAAGCAAGGGCGCCTGGTTGTTGTTGCGTTGGTGTCCGAATCCCATCCCTCAAATACTCCACCCTCCGCCGTCGTTGTCGGTGTCTCCTCCACCACTTGACTACCTCCCATGGACCCCTACAATGCGCAGTCGCTTGTCGGGTCGTTTCCTGCTCCGACGGTGACGAGGGGGGGGGGGACGATGGTAATGAGTGTTCGCTGCGAAGAGGACTTGGCACGGTAAAGCCAAGCGAGGGAGAAAGGTGATACGGGGGTGGTGCAGTGAGACTTTGCGGCCGCTTCAGGTGGTAGAATGTCTGCCGACACAAGGGGCAGCTTGCATCGCGTTTTGATAACCAGGCGTCGATGCATGGCTTGTGGAAGATGTGGTGGCAGGGTAGTTCTCGAAATCGCATGTCGCGGTGGAGGGTCTCGAAGCAGAGGATACAGTCCGTTTCTTGATTCTGGCCTCTCTGTTCGCCTGCCGTTGGGATTTCCCAGTTAGTTAATTGTAGCTGGTGCTCGATATGCATGAACTGTCGGTGGTGGCGCTGGTGTATAGAAAACCTATGTACACGGTATACATACCCTTCGCAATGAAGGCACCAGATAAACACCGCATTTTGGCCTGGTCAAGCTCCTTGACAGAGAGCGTGCCGGAACTTAAGGGGAAGTATATGTAATGTGTAGTAGGCATCGCGATGTGCGTTTTCTCCCCTCCCAACAGATCGACAAAATTTGCAACAGCCCGCACCTGTTGCCTCGAGTAATGTGGCTATTTATGAAGAGTCCGCCCCGATGAATTTTACATGGAAAAATAGGTGTAGCTGGCTTCCCTATCCAACCATTGAGGATTTGTGGGACCACATCCGAAGTCAGCTTTAGAGAAACTGATGTGATTTTTCTCCGGTTATTTCCTTCTTCTTTTCCTCTTTTCTTTGTAGGCCACAGGTTCTTTGATATAACTTATCCTGCCCTCAAAGAGTTGTTTTTCATTCTTTGCCTGTTATGTTGGGTTGTTTCCCAACCCCATGACTATGACATCAAGTTCCAACAATTTGCCGGCCAAAACCTTGGTAGCCGTGTAGCCGGCAACAACGCAGCTTGGATTGGCGGAGCGCTGCGGGAGATCGAATGGTTCTCCCAGTCAGAATAGTTGTGAGCATTTAGTTCATCGCATGTGCCATGGTCAGTTGGTCTGTTGGTCTGTTTTTGTCATTGTTTGATTTCCAGGGTTCCATGGCATTCGCTCCCGGGGGATCGGGCTTGCCGCTGATATCCCGGCTCTGTTCTTTTGCTTGCTATAAAATACCATCAACTGTGTATATTTTGTTTGCTTGATACATACCTAAACTTGGTTACCCCGTGTCATACCATTATCCAGTTCCCTATTGTGTTTCATGTCCTTCTTCCTTTTTAATATCCTGTCATACCCCCTTGCTCACCGGAATAAGCTTTGGCGTTTCAATTCCCCAGTTTACTAGAAATGAAATTAGTTGGCGATAGAAGCGACTCAGCTAATCGCTAAAGAAGTACTTCGGGGATGTTTCTAAAGAAGCTACAAAGCTAAACCTCAGAAAAACGCACTTTGGAAGGTTGCACGAAATGGAAAACAAAATGAAAGCTAGAATGAAATAAAGGCCAATTGAAACAAAGGCGTAGTTGAAAGAAGAGAGCACTGATATAGTTGTATAACTATTGTTTTCAAGAACCGGCGATGAAAGATAGAAGTTTTGAAACAGAGCCAACAGATAGTATAGATCAGTCAAAAAATGAAAAGGAAAAGTATTTAACACAGCAGAGCTGGAATGCATTTTGACAGTAACCTTAAGTACATCATGCATCGTCATTGGGATCTATCCGAACACTGCTTCGACAGCCTAAAAAGAATTAATGAGCATTTTGAGGTAGTAGAAGACTCCATGAATGCTTCGAGTCTATAATTTTGGGAAGTTAGCTCGATTGGGCGGAATTAGCCCTAACTCTTCATCCCTTTGATCATCCCAGGTTGGTTTCTCTTTCTCTCTTACATACCCCACCCTTCTACATTAATTTCTCCACTTACTCCTCTGTCCAGTTTTCCGGATTTGCTTTATTGATCCAACTTGTTGTCAGTATAGTATGCCGTTCCTCAACACTCTGACTTAAACCATCTAGTTGGCTGCGTACTTTATTCCTTCCAGGTCCTGGGTATCGTCAGCGCAGGCATGACGAAGGCGGGTAGAGGTGAATTGAGGAAGACTAGGCTGCAAAAGCAAAGAGTTGTGACGGAATGATTGTAGATGAGTTGACTGTGTGCCATACCTGGCAGAAGTTCCCTCATCTCTGTTCCCTGAGTCCTCAACTCTGAAGAGTTATTTGAAAGATTCTATGCAAATGCCACCCAGTTTCTAAAATATCCCATAGCTTATTGCCAAAGCAGATGATTGGGAACCTTATTTGATCATAGAATCTGCAACTGAAGTTATATTGTAGTTTACTCCAGAAAGAAAAGCTTGAAAATTGTTTGTTGAATAGCTGTTTCTGGTATAGCCAGCTGTACACTGTGAAACCCACCCTGTACTAATTATTAACCTTGAGAGTACCATTGACTTGTCCACCATATTCTGCAATAACTTTCTCTGCAGCTGTCTGTGCCACAAGATAGGCCGTGGGCTGGCTATGGTTGCTATTTTAAAAGACCGTTATTAGGACTTGTGCTGATGAACGGGTAATGATAAAATAAGAATATAATACAAAAAGAAGAAAAAAATATAAGCATATAGAGAGAGGGAGGCCAGTTAACTCACTTTGGGGTCATTGGACAAACACTCAAATCCACTACTCGTAGCTTCTCAACGCCATACACGCGGAAGTCCTTGCCTGTACATGCAGTTGGGTCGTCCGATTTGCCCACTTTTACGGTTCCATTGGCATGGAAGACCGGCAGGAGGTTTTCATCGATGAATTCCTATATTTCAAACGTTTTTGTATGTTAGACACCGATACCTACCTGGATTTCCTCACATTTATTTGTATGAAAAGACAGGCAACGCCAGAGTGGGGGAAATAATTAATTGAAAGGCAATAGCAACAACATACATGGATATCTTCGTCTGACTGGCTCCGAAGAGCCAGGACGTACGCCTTGAATTCTTGCAGAATCGCACCAGACTCGAAAAACTTCATAGTTTCTCTGATTGCCAGGGTCAGCATCTTTCGATCGAAAGGGTGGGACATGTAATTGGGGTCAATGACGGGATGATTAGTCGCGTTTGCCGATTTTAGCGTAACTTCGCCCTTGGACTGCATATTCATAAGGCAAACGACAATAGAGAGATACGACGTCCCCTCTGGTATAACGTATGTCGGGGGGAAATGGGGTCCCGCAAGAAAGGCTTCATAATGGGGCACGGAGTCCTTGGCCAAGTGTTCCTTTCAAAGAGCATCTAGGTTTTGATATTCGTTAGTTGTGAGAATGGAATTTTCCTTCAGCCATCCGGTGATAGCGCAAGACTGGTGTAGGTTTGTCTCCCCAGTCCCGTCTCGTCTCCATTGCTCTCGTGTAGCTTCAACGGCAGCGGGGTTAGAGACAAATTTAACTCGATCACTGAGGCCTGCAGCGGGCGCATATGATGCTCCTATAACAACTAAGGGGTGATCGGATAGACCTTTGCCTACCCCAGGAAGATCGTGAAGTGTTTCAATATTGTGCTGGGTGAGCTCCTGAGTAGGCCCAATACCAGAGAGGAGCAAGATCTTCGGGGTATCGAATGCACCGGCAGATAGTATTACTTCCTGGTTCTCTTGATATTCAATCAGCTGTTATTTCTTATCATCAGTTCTATCTGCAAGCTTATTTGACACTTTTAAATTCTTCTTATAGATCTTACACCTTCATCTCTGTATTCAATGAATAGAAGATTGCACCTCAGTTCAAGCTTCAAAAGATATAAGTGATGTTTCTTTCTTATATTCAAATATCTTTGTTAATGTTGAGAATGTGTTGATTATCATGACTGTGACTTGTATTGTCTCATCTTAGAGCTCTTTCATCAGCTCACTATTAAATAGCAAGCTTCTTGTCTTCTCTGTAACTATTTGATTCACACATTTCACTGAGTCATTCAATTATGATGTATCAGATGTAGTCATTTCATATGCTATTTCTTTACTCTGATAGTAGGTCTTAAGTTCTTGACTTTTGAACTCTTCTTCATTATCTCAGTGTAGGGTTTCAATTTGACATTGAGTAATGGCCTCAATTTCATCAATAAAGGTCATCAAACACACAGTGATCTCACTCTTTGACATTATAAGAATAATTCACCTGTAGTGTGTAGTATCATCTGTAATACTCATTCAATAATTAGCTTCTCTCTGAGTAGAGAGGTTGACTTCATTATATAGTGTGCAGCTGTCATCTGTAAGATTCATGAAGAATCTCATTGCAGATTTGATAGTTCTTATCATTAATATGAATGTTGAATATGTCATTTTTATCTGTACACAGGTCTTATAGAATGACAAAGCTCTCTCACTCTTGATTCTCATTTCTAGTCATGAATCTGTTACTAATTTAGTGATATCTGCAGAGTTGAGATAATCAAGCTTTTAATGTCATTGTAACATTGTGTGTTCAATAATCTTGATATTCTTATTAAGCAATGCTAGCCGAGAATTCTTTTTCTCTACAGACTGTAGAATTTTTGCTGGTTCAAATTCATCATTTAACATTATGAATCAAATCAAGTCTCTAGTCATTGATTGTTTTTTCAGAATGTAGATGTTCTTATCACTCAATTTGATAGTAAAACTGAACATCTTGTCAGAAGAGGTTAGTAAGATTAAATGAGTATTTTCATAGATCAGTTGCTTATATGTATAGCCCTGGCATACAAGCTTTTCAAAACTCATAAGATTAATCTCCAGCTTGAGAACATAGTGAATGTTCTGCAGCAGCAGACTTACTTCTTCAACTGATATATTCACCTTCTCTATAGCTGTTGCAGAAGCTGTTAATCTGTCAGTTATCTTCAATATGATATCAATCTTCTGCAGTACTATTGATATGAGATCCTTGTAAGATGTAGCATGAGCACTGAATTCAGAGTTCAGAATTCAGGTATCTTTGCTAGTTTGACCAGTAGAATAGACTCTCTCTGTTGTATGAAATACTTGCTTAATGACATTATAAACTGGCACTGAGCCTGTTTCATTCTTAGACTGACCGTGTGACCGTGTCTGAGACCAGGACCAGATTTTTTGATAGTTTCATTACCAATTTGACTGATCCCATTACATGGTTTTAATATTAGATAGTAGTCTCATACTGTCTCAGTGAGACTTACTATCTACTCTTATCACATTTTTCAAATAAGACCATGATTTTCACTTCTCAATTTAAATTATTTTTATTGCTTTAAATGACTTTAAATCTCATTTGAGTGTTATCAAAAAGTGTTACTTTTTAAAAAATTAAAAATAGTCTAAAAAAAACCTTAAAATGTCTAAAAATAGTAACTTTATGCCAAGAATGAGATTAAATAAGATCAAATGGAACCACTTTCTCATTTTTTTCAAGTCATGATTTCATTTTAAGATCTGATATATAGTCACTTTACATGTTTTTTTGATAGCCAGTCTCAGCAGGATTCACATCAAGAAATGTATGAGATCAGACCAAATGGAACCAAACGTGAAATTCATGATCCCGGCGGCCAGTCTATTCATTCTTATTCTTATCCTTATCCTTATCCTTACCGCGGCTAGTAGAGTGTTTTTCAGGAAATTTCAACCAGCAATTCATTTGAATGTGGTCAATCTTTTGACAATGATAACACATTTTAGTAGCATTATTACCCTTTCTATCCGGCTTGATGAAATCTTTGTTCTTGTTCTCAGAGATCTTCTCCTTCTCCTTATCTTTCTTATTCTTATCTTGCGCGTTGTTGATAGAATTTCTAGACATATCAGTATTTGTTTCATTCACAGCAGAGAGCTGCAAAAGAATATCACAGTACAGGCTTATAAAATCATTCTCTAAGAGTTGAATATTATCTTTGTTAATTTGATCCATTCAATTCCTTATAAATAAGGCTCAACCTCTGTTAACTTCTGTAAGCAGTCTGTTGAAAAACATGACATCCGGAATCTCATATTCTAGATGAATATAATCAGTTCTTATGACAATCAGACATTCAATGAAAGCATAATCTGAGTCTTTTAACTTAGCAGTCATGCTAATCAGCTTCTCAAACAGACAGATTCTGTGAATAGCAGGTCTCTCAGAAAAGTTATTCTCTATGATAGTTCATAGAGTATAAGTAGACAACTTGAATTTCTTGAGTATAGTGAAATGAGCCTTGGCCTGCAGGGCAATTACAGATCACATGTAATTGTATAATCAAAGATTGCATTCTTTTCAGAAATGTTGCATGTTCATGATGATATTCTCATCAAGATCATTATCTTCAAGAATATTATTGATTTCAGACTGCTCTGCAGTTAAAAGAATTTCCTCTCTTCACATTGAGTAGTTAATGAATTCAGTGAGAACTATTAATCTTTTAATGAGTCTTACTTAGCTTCTGAATTCTTCAAGAACTTTTATTATAACAGATATCTTCTCTTTCTGTTGAAGATATTCTATCAGATCTGCTCTCATCTCATCATCTGCAGAGTCACCTCTACTGATCTTCATTCACTTAATCTCATGCTGAAGTCTTGCAATTTCTAGTCTCATGTGAGTCTTCTCACTCACTGAGCTATTGTCATTTCAGTCATTTGAGCTTCTCACATTATCTGACATCTCACTGATGCCTTCAACTGAGTCTTTATATTTATTGAACTTATCAGATCATTTCTCTGTGATGATTTTATCTGACTCAAATACCTCTGAGACAGTCACTTTTCAGTTGATTGTAGATATTGATAAGCTCACACTCAATCCTTCTTATGCTTCAGACATTTGTGAATTTCTTCTTCTATGTGTTGGCATGTAATTCTTTATTAAGTCAGGCTTTCTACCCAATCTCAGGTTCACCATGAATTCAATTAATCAATAAATCATCTAGGCACGCTTGTAATGATGTGTGAAGATGTCAATTTAGCACATTGTTGCAGTTATTTATTGCTTATGAAGAGCTTCATAACCTCTTGAAGAATAACATTGTTATGTTGTAATCTAACTACGCGAGTTACACTAAATGAATAGGTTGAAGTGGCACGTGACTAGAGTAGATGTAGTAATCATCAACAAAGAACTTATCAGAGAATATCAGTGAAAGACCTGAGAGTTCTGATACTCAGATATATAAGATATTTATACAATTACACTTCTTCAGATTTCACAGATATCATACATCTAACAAATGATATAATTATGTTTAATAATAATATAAGAGAACTCTTGAGCATGAGTATAGAAGTAATATTATAGTGACTTTAAGCAATGTTGAAATTACAACAGTAACAGATAGCAGACATGTATATAACTTAATAACTTTAATATGAAGAGATTTAACAATTAACTCAATAAAGAATTCATGCAATTTCAATATCTACAGAATTAAATACAAAAGCACTGAAAGAATACTTAGATACTTCTATATATTTCAATACTTTTAATCTCACTCTCTACTTATTATGAAGAATGAAAATGCTTGTAAAACTGAGTATAAATAGACATATTATCAGTTTGTTAACTAATCAAGATTGATATATTAATGAACAATTAAAGAATTATATAAAACAGAAGTTTCATTTATAAATAAAAGTATGTAAATCAGTGTTACAAATATCTGACAATATTATCAAATATCTTGATATTCTGTTCTGAGACACTGTTATACAATAGAAAGTATTAGATTGATTACAGAGTATCTAACAGAGAAATACTTCTCTCACAATATTTATTTCTGACTTCAATATCAAGATTCTAGAAGTAGATAATCAATCTTAAAAGAATTAAATGAAGATTAGCATGCTTAAGAAGATATTAACTTTCAAACTCTTACAGACTCTTATAAGTGTAGATAAAGATCAAACTTATGAAGATTTCTGCACACAGCTTCAGATAGTGAATAGCTGTCTTATCAAGCTCAAGAGTATACAGAATAGTGATAGAAGACATTACATCTTAGTCACTTATACACTCACACTAAAGAATAACAATGATGCAGATGTTATGAATTAAGTAGACTTGAATATCTATATATAAGTACAAATCTTTATCATTCAAATAGACTTCTGAGTTCCTGAGATTACTTCTGAAGAAGTCATTGATTGATGTTAACAAGAAGTATACATTAACTGTAATCAATCAGAACATATCACTTTCAACTGCTAATCAGTCTATATACCTTCTTATTCAAAAGAAAGATCAACATCAGCAGTCTGCATCAATCATGTTATATTAGAAGAAGATTCAGAAGATAACTATGAGAATATTCTAATGAAACAGAGAAAAGATTAGCTTCTGTTCAAATTTATAAACAGAAGCTTGAAGAGGTTAGATAATAATGATTTAAAGAGAAAATAATAATGAATGTAATTCTTGTATCTACTGTGATTGATAACATTTATAATATGAAAGCTATGATAGACAGTGATCTATACTACTATACAATGATAAAATCTTCAGTTGTAAGATATTATAATTTTCAGTATATCTTCTTATTAAAATCCTGACTTCTTGCAGAATTTGATGATTCAAAAGATGTTTACACTCATTACATGATGAAACTAAATATAGATGTTAAAGAACATTAACATGAAAATATCTATGTGTATAAAGTTAATAATCTCAATTATAATCTGTAAGAGACCTACGCTGAATAGATCGGTATGATATTGATAGATCTTATATAACAAAGAGAAAAATATTAGAGAAGAAAAGAAAGAGAAAGTGTGAGAATCAGTAATCAGAGTGAATATTTATATATGTATATGATGATGTATGCAGTGAAGCTTCGGGGTGGAAGAATCTATACACTTTCATGACAGCTGAGAATTGGCAATTGAGAATGGCTGAGAATTGAAGTGTACATGTTTGAGAATGAAGTGATTGAAATCTGTAAAGTGTAACAGAATAGTCTATATCATTGATCAGGTGCAGTCTGTCATATTAGTTTCTTCTTTTCAGAAGCAGTTCTCATCAGTCAAGAGTCACTGTTTCAGATAATGCAGAACTCAGAGTTCAGGTCAGATAATCATATCTGACTCATTTTACAAGATATTATCAGTTGCAGTCACAGAGTCTCTCATTGAGAATGTTCTCAATCTCTCACTCAAGCTTATTATCTTCTTCTATAATATCTGACAGCTGTCAGTCAGAAGTCAGTTGAGAAGAGAATGAGTCAGTGACAGTGTGATGAAGCAAGCTTGTGTGAAAGACATCATGAATCTCTGATGATATATTAAGATAATAGTTATAACTATCTAGAACTTCTATCACTTTATACTTTATATAATAATAATTCAGTGTGTGAGATAAGTATGTGATCTGTATATTCTTAAGATTTAATTATATCAGATCTTCTATCTTATATTATTTAGTGAAATCTCAGTGAATATTGATTCAATCTTCTTAATTCTACTTAGTACTTGCTATAGAGGCTTCTGCTTAATCATAGATATCTCAGAGTTTTATTACTATATTATCAGCGATCTGAATTAAACTGTAAGAGTTCAGTATGAACTGTATAGTCTCTAGAAGATTCAACACTTTCATGTGATAATTATATATAAGAAAGAACAGACTTATATCTGTTAAGATAGTATCTTGATCATTAATAGCAATGTCTGTGTGTAGAAGAAGATTATATCAATCATCTTATAAGTAGTTACAGAACTTATAAAGATAATTCTTTATAGTCTGAATTATTCATTCTGATGTATTATCAGTCTCAAAGTGATAGACAGTTGATAAATAGCATATAATCTTAAGAACTTGACAGATTCTTATTCAGAGAGTACTTACAAATTGACAGCTCTGATTCAATACTATAGATCTCAGTAATTCATATATCTGATAGAATAGACTTCTTAGAAAAGCTTCAGCAACTTGTTCAGTATTTATCTTATCACAGAATTTCAATATTACATTCTTACTCAATCAGTTCATAATAACTAGAACATTTCTACAGTTCTTACTCTCAGAGAGATTAACAGCAAAGTCAATTATCATATCTTATCAGATTGTATCAGAAATATCAAGCAGTTTCAGCAGGTCTTTTGTACAGTTCTTCTACAGAATAATAGAGAAATAATGATTACAGTTTCAGATAAAATATCTGATGCTGTTTAATATCTCAGATCAGTAGAACTCTCAAGAGATCATTCAATATAGTTATTCACAACCTGAGTGATTGATTATATGTGAATCATGCATCTCTTGCATTATTCAAGTATATAAGAGTTCAGAGTAAAGAACTCAATATCATTCACAGAATTATAGAGTATTATTATTATTAATTAAGTATTCTGAGATGTTAGTTCTTATACATAGTTTTGAGAAGAATCAGAGTGCTTCTTGATATACTGCTTTAGTGAGTGCTTGAAGAAGTTCATCAGTTTGAGCTGTTACATGTCATAATTCATCTAGTGTAGATTTAGAAGAAGTTAAGATATCAGTATCAGTATCAGTATCAGTGTCAGTGACAGTTCAGAGAGAGAATGTTCTAATCAGAGAAGTATATATAGTATCATTTTAATCAACTAATATCTTCAGATCTAGAAGTCAGTGTTCTCAGTTCATTCAACAGATGTTTATTACATTGTAAGACATATCTTACTCTTGTTATGAGAGAGTATCTGTTATCAAGTTCTGACTGTCAGAATGATAGTGTATTGTAAAATAAAAGCAGCTTAAGAACTCAGATCATTGCATCTATTATTCAGTGAGTTTACAGATAGTTATAAAGTGCTTAAGATTCTTATAATCTGTGATTATCTTAAATTCAGAGATAC